GACATGTCAGTGTATGAATGAAAAATAATATAGCTATCCATGACAGAGAATGAAATCAGACTTTGTTAAAAAAAAAAAAAAAAAAAAAAGCTGCATTTGAAGTGATTGTCTACTCTTGAGAGATATGTTTTCTGTTAATGCAATCCCATGTAGACTTGCATTTTCAAGTTAACTTTCATAACAGGGGAAGCCAGACTCTGCTTTATACCTTTACAAAGCAATCTAATGGACAACATTTATTCAGGATACTCAGTTCCACTTATACTGCACAGCGGTCTGTCTTTCTCCCTTTCTATTGCTTTTCTAGTTAAAATCTATTTGTTACTGCTACATTTCCACAAGCTATATATTTTTTCTCATTCACAACATACACCTCAAACATTGTAGCACTATACTATAGTTATTTCTTTCCCCACTCTTCCCTGCTCTTGGATGTCATTTACACAGTTATAGCTATTAGTTTCAGCAGAGAGATGAAGGGAAATGTTTACATCAATTTTTGCCATTGCAGTGTTTTTTCCTTGATATCTTGCTATCAATGTGCTGTTTGTGAATTTCACAGTAACCTTTCCTTGCAAACAAGGAAAACTCCCTGTATTTTCATTGCTGGTCCCTGCGCCATCCCTCCTCCCCTTCTGTTTACGCAGGCCAGTAGCTGACTATAGTTTTTCGTTTTATTATCCATAATTATGTCCAAACACCATTTTCTTCCAGCCAGAATTTTTACGTAGCTCTCTTTATGAAACCCAGCCCTTTGTGCGTGTGAACACAGTACAGATGATTTGCCTTGTCAACTTCCTCCTAACCTTTTGCATATCTAGCATTTTATCATCACTATAGCTAATATTGTAGATAATCTTCCCAGTCATCCACAGCATTCTGTCTGCCACTCTACAGCTTGATTCTGTTTAAGCACTGCTTGGCAACAGCCAAAACACTGGTGTGTTGTCAACTCTGATGTAGTCATAAATCCAAAAAGTATTTCCATACAACTTGCTATGAAGAAAACTAGCTCTATCCAAGCCAGATATGGTGTACTGTATTAGTATTTATTTGTTGTAAGACTGCACTTGTATACTTCATTCAAGTGTATTTTTGTACTTGAATGAAATCAAATCACAAATGCAAATGATAATTTGAATATCTATTGCCTGGAAATCATTAACTAAATTGTACAGTTTACCTGGATGATTAGCAAAAGGATTGCCTAAACCAAACTATAATTGTAATATTACATCAGAATCATATATGTAGGAAGTTGCAAGTATACCTTAAGACAAAACTCTTCTCCAGTTATGTTTTAAAATTTAATATTATTTTTTGGCTTTTTTTGGGAGGAGCATTGCAGATAGACTGATCTTCATACGAATGGGTGCATTAAATGGACTGAGAAGACTGGATTTGTTTCTGATTTATCTTTTCAGTTTTAATGACTTTTTAAGTATGACTATTTTTTTTTCCTCTGTAACAGCCTAATTCTAGCTCAATGATACGAAAAAAACCCATTTATTCCAACCCTTCTGAAACTGGATGGGGAATTTTTGATGAAGAAAACCTAGTAAGGAGTGATTCTGTGAAGGAGGAGAACCTTGTTAAGTGCATTGTAATACATATCTAACTATTTTCTTTATTTTACTGTTCAGTCTCATTTCATAACAGATATTGCACATGGTCCAGAAGGTTGCTTTCTGGAAGATTGTTGCATTTGTCAAGCTGTTAAGGTCACAGGTACCTTATTCAGCTTATATCTTATCACACTATTTGCGGCTCTCAATCTGGAATACCTTGTCTGTCTTTTCATACTGAATACTTCTGCTCCTGTATATCTAGAGTCTTTCTGCATTCAGACTGTTGCACTTGGGTAGATGGGTAGCTGAATTTTGGAAAAAAATGAAGGATGTGGTCTTAGAAATGTCACTCAGAAAAAAAAATATATATATATATTGACACTGTAACCTGTGCTTTATTTTGTTTGAGACCATGACAGTTTAAATTTTCTGTGCACATCAATTTCCTGTTGTTGAAAACAAACAAAGAGAATATGATAAGCACAAAAAAGAAAAGGACGAATTAATTTTTGTATTTCAGTTCACTTTCTGTAACATAAGAACAGTATCACTCAGTGTAAACCCACCAAAAGTATTTTGAAAATTAATTAAGAATTGTGAAGAACTCAAGAACTTCAGTAATAAACACTTAAGAAAGCAGAAGCCAAGACGAAGATCGACAGTCCTATTTTCAGAGGAGACTTTTAACAGATTGCAATAAATCAGTAGTGAAGAAAATAGCGAGGTGGTAGGAGAATAGGAAGTAGCCCTCAGCAGGGGATTGGAACCAGGTGCTCTTTGAAGTGCTTTCCAACCTAAATCATTCTGTAATTCTAGCTCTCTTTTAAAGGAGTAGCGTGAAAGTTGTGTGAAAAAAGCAGGGATTCAGGAAGGTAAATATTTTGTATGATTATAGATTTTATCATATGCCTACAAATAAGATGGCTCAAATAGAAGTTTTCTAGGCGTTTCCGGTCTTCAGAATATTGTTTTTCAATTTCATTGTGAATAGTATTTTATGTCTGGCAGTTGCAGACATTCTGCACAAGCAGATGTAGCAACATATTGAATTTGCCTTTTCAGTTGTAAAATGTGTTTATACCTAAAAAAAAATAAACTGGTGTAGTTCTTGTTTAGTATTTATTCACTGCCAAATTATTATAACATGTTTGTTCTCCTTTATCCTGTGATTATTTTATATGCCAGTCCTACAAGATACATAGAAAAATGAAATTGTTGAAATTTAGAGTTAATGGATATTAGTGAAGACTGTACTTGGAAAAGCATTGTATAATTTCTTTATCTATCTTTCTTCTCAAAAGTAGACACCACTGCTTTGTATTCCACCCTGTTATAAAATATTGGCTATTTGTAACCTTTCTATACAAAAAGATCATTTTATAGTGATGTATATATACATCATTATATATAGTAATCTATAGTGATCTATGTATAGTGACCTATATGTACAGAAAGATCAAGATACAACATAGTTACTTTAAGGAACATTAATTGATGATTAAGATATCAAAGAATGCAAGTAGTTCTTTTGTCACACAAACACAAAAAGGCAGTTACTGGCTTAGCATTTTCAAGCTTTGCTAAACACTAGATAGACCATTACAGAGTCTGCAATAACTCTCCTTGTGCCACAATACTTCAGCAAGTACATTTTGTATTATACGTAACCTTAGCAGTAGCTTTTGTTATTCTGTATTTTGTCTGCTTTGGAGTGAAGTTATATTTATTTTATTGCTCTGAAAGTTTCTGGTTTTGTAGTCAGACGTCTAGAAGTACTTTCATATTGAAATGTGAAAGCATAATTCCCAAAAGTACATTTTTTTACAGATCTATTGTGGTTTGAAAAGTTGTCTGATACTATATCCTTGTTGAGTTTGGGAGATTATTTCAGTTGAATTGCATTGTATAAAATGTCATTTTATTTTCCTCTCTTAAATTATTCACAGTCATACTGCAGATGTAGATAACAATAGTATCAATTGAATATCTGCCACGTTGGCATCACTATTTTTTCTAGAAAATGGAATCATGATAGTGTCTAGAGTATCTTTAGGTAAGTATAAATGTGGGTGTTTTGGTGTCCTCTTCCAGCATCAGCTGTATCAGCTTGGGATATTGCCATCAAGCTGTGTAAGACTGCTCAGCAAGTCAAGGTTACACTATATGGCTAAAAGCAGAAATACAAGTTCTTGCTTCTCTGCTGCAGTAGACTTAGTAATTGCTTCTAAGCATTTAATCATCAATTAGGTCACATTGCTAATTTTGCACTGAAGTGAGTCAAGTTGTATTCCACTGGCTGCACAGCGAAGAATTATCTTCTGTCAAGAATATAATAGCAGGTACAGTCTTGAATCTCGATCAGCATGCAAAATGATCCTGTCTCTAAGTATCAAATGGATTTCATTGCTTTAACTGTAAGAGTACAGCTGAAGTACTGTGCTGCTTTAATCTGTATGTTTTGTTGTGAACTGGATCATTTTATTGGCTTTTTTCATCCAGCCTTTTAGAGTGGCCCTTTTCTTATTTCTATCCAGATTAAAACAAAACAAAAACAACAAAACTTTTCATTTTGAGGTCCTTTTCACTAGTAACATGTTCTTAGTAAAGATGAGCAACTACTAATTAAAAATCTTTTTTCTTCTTCCCATAGGATGTTTTCCTGTGACCTGACATAATGTTTTCTAATATTATACTACAAAAAATAGTTTGCTTTAAAAAATATTGCATAGATTTTTTTAGAGATAACTAATTGCATAGCAGGTATAATTCACATTTGTCTCCACAATGAAGGCATATATATATGATCTACCCTTGCATTACATCCAGCCAAGGAATAATGTGTGTAGTTCACTACCAGAGTAGAGTGTGCAGTCAAATTACACAGTCCCAAGTGAGGATTTATCTCTTAGTCCTATCTAGCTCCTATCCAGATCAGAAGAGCTGGAGGCAGTGAAAGCTTTATCATGAACAGTTCATGTGAATTTTTTCCATACACTCACTGAAATTCCATTCCTAGGCACCAGATGGTAGTACTTTAGAAAAGCAAAAGAAAAGCAATGTAGGGAAAGTTCATGGTATTTTTATAATGCAAATCATCAGAGATCCAAGAAATTAACTATACAGTAGTAATCTTAAAACAGACTAGACTTCAGTGGATAATTATATTTGTCTCCGTTTTACTCAAAACTGTTTATTGGCTGGACATTCTGAGTATCTTCAGTCATGCTTCAGTTGGCTAGCACCACAGACCTTACTATTCTTTGTCTACTAACCATAAAAAAGCATTTATTACTCTTCGCTATTTTGTGGGACTTTTCACTTCACTAGTACTCATTACTTTTAGATATTAGGCCAGATAACTGTTCTTTTCACCTTGTTCTGGATAGCATTATTTCATAAAGTGAAATGTATATATATGTTATTGATTTGTAGGATGGAATGGGAAATTTGAGAGTCACTAAAAAAGGAATACGACTTGAAGGAATATCTGAATTTCTACTTCCGCTATATGTGAAAGAAATCAATTCCCGAAAGGTAGGTGTTTTTTTTATCTTTTTTTACCCTTAATTTACAGCTAATATAAATGAATCTCCTCAGCCTCAAACTACAGTTTCATTATTACACCTCCTAAATTAGCAATCCATAGAGATTTGTTTTGAGAATATGTGAACAGTGAAATCTTCCTTCGTGTCATTTTTTTTTCCTGAAACTTTGCTTGCCTCTTAAAAGAAATGCATCATCCTTAAAAACATGACTCAAAACATCTATATTTCATATTTGAAATGATGCTGACATTGAGAATGGAGCATTTGGACTCTTCACCAGTTGTTAAGTCTAGAAGTACAAAATGGATTATGTGTGTAAAATGTATTGAAATTGTCAGTGATTTTATGTATGTTGAAGTCCTTTCTGGTTTTAGCTAGAATAGTTCCTTTTTTTTTTTTTTTTTTTCTTTACAGACAATCTTGTTGAACTGTATCATGTCTCTAGCTTGTAATTTTTCAAGGCAAGCCATTTTTAAATGCTGTTTAAATGCAGTCATTTTATTATGTGGTAGCAGATTATTATGAAGAAAAAAAGGAAAAGAAAATACTTCAGAAACTAAGTGCAGATCATTTTGATGTAGGAGTTTTCACTCATTCATGCTATATATTCAACATCACCAGCATAGTATAAATGATTTAGAAAAATCTCTTAAATTCTCTTCACAATTCATACAATAATCTATAATTAGAGAAGAATATTACAATACTTTTCAATCAACCATGTGCAAAGAATTGTAGTATGTATAGAGCTAAAGCTGGCAAGAATGAAATTGTATCTGCCCTAAGTGCCTTTATGGAAAAGTCTGTTAAAATCTTTTGTCTGTACACAGAATGTCTCAAGTACATTCATAAATGAGATCATGACAGCTTCCCATTTCTCTTAATTAGTTCACTCTTGTGTTAATAAATATATGAGATAAATGACAAGTCTATTGGTCCTTTTTTTTGTGTGTAAAACTACCATATTTCAATATGTGACACAGAATCAATATATTCTTGGTGATGAAAACCTATTTCATAATGAGATTAATAATCTCATCCTCAACAATTTTGAATCTTTAAGGCTTTAAAAAACATATATCTTTGATTTTTCAATTCATCATACATCCAGTTACAAAACCTTGCTCATAATGTTTCTTTTATAATAGTAGCTTAAAATATTAATTACTAGCTAACATTAAAAAATAAGTAGAGTTGTTTCTGAATAAATGCAAATATCATAGCTTTGATATTGGTTAAAATGTTTGAATTTTAAAAACAAACAAACAAACAAAACATCTACCAAACCAAAGCAACTTAGAAAACACTCACTGCATAATTACATAAATGACTGTTTAAGCATTGATCAGTAAGATCAGATTCTGCCTTCCAAAATTGGAAAGGCATCTACAATGGGGAACACTGGCTATGTCTATTATTTCTATACTGTTTCCTTGACAATTTTGTAATTTTAGTGTTCTTCAAATTAGTTAGAATATTTTGTCTTTTATCTATTTCTAATGAACAAAACAGTATAGAGTACTAAACTGTCAGACCTTCATACCAAATACAACAAATCCTTTTAAAATCACGCATAAAGCATGAGCTTGCTTAATATGAATATTCCAATATGTAGACTTGATGAAATCTGTGTAAATTCCCAGACTACATAGCTTATACCCTCACCTTTCAGGGAGCATACTGTTTTTGTAGAGGTTGCAGAATATTAGTCATGGCTTTTCTTTATTCCTTGTTACTTTCTACAAATGAATCATATCTGTTCCATTTTCCCTGAATGTACACAAGAGTTATGATTTGGGATATTTTCTTTCTCAGGGCTTAATTTTGCTGAACACTTGTTCTCTTGAAGTAAATATGGAAACTTCTGTTTCAAGTGAAAATAGTGAGGGCTTTGAGTATAGTTCTAATTTCACCCAGAGCTGGTAAACAATGTGACAAACTATGTACATATATATGTATGTAGGATGTAAAGTCTATCAGTAGCCTGTCTCAAGGTTACATTAGTCTTGAGAGGCTCATGAAGCATCTTGTAAATGCCTTCAAATTAATATCACCAGGACAAAATATTTTAACTAAAATATTTTTAGTTTTGCATATGTACTGATCTCTATCTCCCAACTTTAATTAATTCATTATCTAGCAAAAAACAAAAACACCAAACAAACAAAAAACAAAACAAAAAAACCACTGCCACATTGCTCAGTAGTTATTTCACTGAAGTTTCAGTACCTTCTGGTATATGAAAATGTGCCTGATATGAGGAAATTATGAAAATATTTTAAACATTGGGATGGGGGATTGTGGCATCTCTGCTTGGAGTACTCTAAGGTGGGTGTCTTCTGCATGTTATTAGCTGTTTTGTCACTTACAGGATTGAAGTTGGTGCTGTAGAAATCGGTGTGTGAGCCATGTTTCTGAAGTCTCCTTGCATTCAGTAGAGGTGCATTTAGTACAGTGGGCTCTGAATAGCTGATAATAGTGCTCTTATTTGGGTGATAAAGAGGAATGCTTCACCCTCTTTCTATAGAAGTAATGCCTGAAGTTTGATGCATACAGGAGTTCAGAGGTTCAGTGGAATCCAAAACACATCTGAAACTGCCACATTTGTTTTTACATGCAAATGCTGCTTATTTTCTTAAGGGAAGGTTTGCTCTTTAAGTACATTAACCCATTTCCCATTAAAAGAACAGAGACAATGAAGTGATATCACCCAATTAACCCCTGATACAAACTGTAATGAATTTAGTAGTGTTATTGTGGAACACCTGTATTTCTCTGTGTTAGTGATGTGATTTGTAGACTGACTCCTGGGAGCTCTCTGTAGGACTGTCAGCATTGCAGGTCAGGGCTTCATAGCTTTTCCACAGGCATAACAAGGCAGAGTGAGGTGGGAAGACCGATGATATCATTAGCAGGATGCAGCAGGTGGTGCTAAGAAAGGTTTTGTGCTTATATAGGAGCTATCTGTTAACTAGATTTGGAGCTGATAAAACATGTTCATGCAGTATAATTAGTTTAATTCTTTCAATCCTATCACTACCGAGGCGTATAGATATTCTGGAAACCTCAATTAGGAGGCTTTTTTGTATTATCAAAAAGGCATAAAGACACCTAAGTGTCTGCCATCTTTACTGCTCAGTGCAAAGTTCAGTGCTTGTTTCTGCAGTTACTGATGACATACCTCTCTGATAAAATCTGCCATGGTCCACAGTTCATTTTTCTAATATCTACTCTTCAGCTTTGCCCTTGGGATCACTCACCTGTCACTGAAGATAAAGCCATTAGTATGGCATAAAAAAAGGAAAAGGTCTCCTTAAGTTATTTGACTCTCAACATGATGTAGTTCCAGTGTACTGAAAGCTCAGTGTCAGTTTGTTGGCTGTGAAGAAGATCTAAAGGTTTCTTAATCAGAAGATTTGCCAAGGGACAAGTCACTCATATTTGTTGGTGGTCTCTGTAGTGGCTGCCATTCTGAAATTGAGTTGGCTGTACTCACTGTTCACTGACAGATGATAGACCTTCATGATTCATGGTTTTGCCCTTGATTTGCTATATTTCACTGAAACTTATCTGGGGGTCATCCAATTGTCCAAGTCTACCTTCTGAACACATCATTTTTTTCATGTCAACCTGGACTCCACTTATTATTACTGTGATTTGTTGCTCATCCAAGGAAGATGTCTGGTTGTATACTGAAAATTCTGACTTAATATTATCGAAGATCTTTATTTTGGTTGATTACAACTCATGAATAAAGTCATGAGCGGCTATATCCACTCAATTTTATATGAGCCTGAGGAATTGAATTTGATTTGGGAAAGATGTGGGAAGTTAATTAAGTAGAAACTGTTATTCTGTTTTTTGTTGTTGTTGTTTTGGCATCAACTGCATCTTCAATTTCAAAATAGTTCCTTGATGTAATGCGTCTGTGTTCCACTGGGGCAAATTTAACTGAAACTGTGATATTTCTTTTTGGTTATTATCATATCCTGTATGTGATTCTAATACTCGTTGAAAGTGAGTTTACTTTGTGCTGTTTTCACTGTGTGAATTATCTGAGAAATTACATTATTTTTATTTTTGTTTCTTTTTCCCTGAACAACTTTAAAATAATACCATTGGAATTTACAGAGGGTAAGCAAACCCTTAAAAACCACACATATTTAAAATTAAGAATGATTTCTATTATTTTTTCCAAACAAAATATGATACAAACCAGGAACAAAAAAAAGACTTGAAAAGGAGAAAAATCTACATCTTCTTTTTCTTATCTCTTTAGGCAGAAATTTATGCATATGCCTGTAGGGAAAACAATATTTATCCTTTCCATTTTGTTTTAGAAACTAAAGTTATCCTTTATGTTTTGCTCTTCCACAGAAACTCTAGAGCCATGAATGCACAGTTCATTAAAAAAAAAAAAAAAAAAAATGTGGAATGGGGCAGGAATAGGAGTTGTAAGGGGGAAAATATCCTTGTATGTCATTAAGTATAAGTGAAGTACATATGTTATCTTTCCCCATATACTTCCAGTCTATTAGCCATGATATAGGGACTGCTGAGATAATTTGTAATGAATTTCTTTCAAGTCAGGCTGTGCTCTTACTTGCAGGCCTTTAGAATGCAAAGACACATTTTGCCAAAAATACTTGTGAACATTGTGCTTTTAAGCTTAGTAGGAGATCTACATTGTATCCAAAGACTCATTGTATTGACAGCAATGAATGCACGTGTGGGAAAAATTCTGCTGGGAGCTGTCAGCATGGATTTATGAAATAGAAATCATACCTGGCCAACCTGAAGCTTCTACGAGGTGAGGAGTGTGGTGGATGAGAACTAGTACTGTTGATTATCATGTCTTTAGATTCTGTGTCCTACCACATTCATTTTGAATGAAGTACATGTTAAATAACAGGGCAGTGAGTTAGACGGAAAACAGGCTAAATTGCTGGCTCAAAATTTTGTGCTTGTTGGTCCATCTGGAAGCCATCA